ATATGGTATGACATGGTAAAATCAATTATCACACAGAACCCTCACATTTAACTTCCAAATTACCAAATTTTACCACATGGTAAGTCACTGTAAAATCAATTACCACACATGCCACTTCCAAAATATCATATTTTACCATATGATATGGCAAATGTAAACTCAATTATCACACAGAACTTCCAAACTACCACACTATACCGCATGGTATGACATGGTAAAATCAATTATAAAACATAACCTTCACATTCAACTTCCAAAATAGCACATTTTACCACCTGGTTTGACATGATAAAATCAAATTACCAGATTATACCACATGGTATGACATTGTAAAATTAATCCAACAAACCAAAAACCAATCCAAAAGAACAAAATAGCTTCAACAACTCAACCAGCATCAACCATTCATTCAAATAATCCTCTACGAAAACTATTACAGCTTCAGCCTTAAACTTTCTTCAACAGCCTTCAAATTCTCCTCCTCAAGCCTGTTAGTTTTTCTCTTCTTCTTACTTACAGCCCTTGCAGCCTCCGCAACTGGAATTGGTCGTTTCGAAGGCTTGAATGAATCTTTTTTAGGCTTAAACCCCTTCACTTTTTGGACCGGTACATCATCTATACCAAGATAACAAAAACAAGCTACAATCAATGACAAATATATATATAAAATCATTCTCCTCAAAAAATTGCATATATCAAAACACAAAACTTTAAACAATTAAAAACTTACTGTCACCGTTAGAAGACGTGCTTGTTCCAGCAGGTTCAGTAATCGATAGGGCTTCACACTTTTTGATCAAATCAGTCATGAAGGCCATGGCTGATTTATACAAATCATCATCCAATGCAACCCTGCTAATCATTGATGCAGAAATAGGTGACAGATTGAAAAGACGAGAACAGTATTTCGATGGACTATCAGTAGACGGAACTTCAAAAGAAAAGTTCCCTCCAGTTTTCGCTGCCCTTGTCCACCGCTTCAAAATCAAACTGCTAGGAATGTGCTGAAACTTCAGATTGCATGTTGTAGACCACAACATATCATATCCCTTAATTTGATGCTTACAGATCATACCACTTGACTCCCACTTACGGCACGAACACTTGATTTCACCGTTTTCAAAATCAACCTTCAACACCCTACTATCCAACCTTGTAAGGTCATCCTCCAATATGAAGACATCAAACAGTCCTACATGTCCTTCTGGTACTATCTCCGTATTGGAAAAAATATTATACGCAAGAGATTCCTTGTACTGATCCAGGAAAAACTTGAATATCTTTGGCGTATACACATTAGCAACTTGCTTCACAATAGGGCTAGTAGAAAACCGAGAATCAGCCAACCTAGATAAGGCATAGTACTCTTCTTGTTCTTCAGCATCCCTCTTATTATCAAGCATCCTCTCAAAGTGCACAAAGAACCTACTAACGCTAAACTCTGACTGCAAGTAATGTCGAATATTACTATTGCAACACTCACTTAGCTGGATACTCTTCATTCCCGCACCAAAATGACAATTCACCCAGGCTGAAGACCACTTCGTCCTGACTTTGTAAATGCCCTGTAACTAACTGTGTCCCAAAGGTCCCTTCCCAAGAAAACACTTCTCAATCATCTTCTTCCAATTATACTCAAAATCATCCTCATCATCAGCATTATACATCAAATAACTAAGCTCACGAAGGAAGTCGGAGTCACACAAACTTCCCAGATTAACAACTGCATTCTGAGCAATATGCCATGTACACAACCCATGAAAACAATCTGGGAAAACAGACCTTATACCAGCAGCAATTGCAGCAGCCTGGTCAGTAAACATTGATAACGGTCTCACACCTCCCATGCATTTCAAAAACTGATCGAAAAGCCATTCAAATGTTGCCGTTGTTTCATCATATAGAAGAGCAGCCGCAAAGACAATCAGTTGGTGATGATTGTTGAAACCAACAAACAAAGCTACAAAAACATAACAAAATGTGAGTAAAAACAATTCTACCAACACATACCATGTGGTAAAAGGTAGAAAACAATATTACAATAATACCAACCCATACCATATGGCAAAGACTCATACCATGTGGTAAAGACTTCTAAGAACAAAAAAAACAATCCATACCAGACTACCATATAGTACACACTTCTAACAACGCAAAAACCACCACAAATAACCTTGTTACCAACCCATACCATATGGTAAAAGACTTTTAAGAACAAAAACACAATGCATACCAGCCCATACCATATAGTACAAACTTCTAACAACCCAAAAACCACCTCAAATAACCTTGTTACCAACACATACCATATGGTAAAATACTTTTAAGAACAAAAAAGCAATCCATACCAACCCATACCATATGGTACAGACTTGTAAGAACAAAAAAAAACATGATACAGAATGATAATAATAATAATAATCATACAAACTAACAAAGACAATAATAAACAACAAACTAGAAAACATACCTAGTGGCCGATACTCTTTGTTAGTCCGGTAAGTAGTATCAAAACTAATTGAATCACCAAAATAATGATAATCGATCCTCATCTTCCCATCTGCCCAAAAAATACTAGCAATGTTCTCTTCAACATCAACCTCCACCTCATGAAAGAACCCAGGATCCAGCTGTGCTTGACGTCTAAAGTATTCAAGCAATGCAGTCGCATCACCATACTCCATTGATAACGTCCTAACCGTTCGCAGATGGTTCTTCAAATCATTCTTTGTGAACCCAACAAACTTCCGACCACCACCAGCCCTACTAATTGCATTATACGAAGAAGTCACACCAATACCAGCAGCATCATTCACCTCTGCCAACATCTTATACACAGGAGCCATTCGTCTGCTGGATCTCACATAGTGACGCAGAGACTCAGGAATCATGTCATGGTTGTGCACATTATACCAACGATAGATCTTATAGCATTTAAACTCTTTAAACCACCTCAGTGGTATATAAGCACCATTACATCCACCCCTGAGTTCTGGAACATTACGAACACGAACTGTCGTATCAACAACACCTGCATTATCAGGGTTATTCTCGCTACCTCTTTTCCAACCTTCCTTATTGCAACAATACTTGATATAATATACAGCTGAAGAACCACCATTGAGCTTCGGACACGCTGATTGGTTACAAATCCTCACACCAAAACCTTCATGATTCCCATAATCAGCATAAAAATTATATGCATCATCTGGTGTATTGAACTCTAAGTCCTTCCAAGAATCACGAACAGTAGGATCTATACCATTGAAACCTACAAACATTATGAAACAACATATTAAATGGATTCCACACCACAACAGTATGAAATCTCAATGTATACCAATAATTACAGCCATGATACAAGAGTTACCACCATGGTATGGCATGGTAAAATCAAATTACCACACTATACCATATGGTATGGCATGGTAAAATCAAACTACAACACTATACCACATGGTATGGCAAGGTAAAATCAAATTACCACACTATACCATATGGTATGGCATGGTAAAATCAAACTACCACACTATACCATATGGTATGGCATGGTAAAATCAATTATCACACAGAACCCTCACATTTAACTTCCTAATTACCACATTTTACCACATGGTAATGTACTGTAAAATCAATTACCACATGATAAGGCATGGTAAAATCAAATCACCACACTATACCATATGGTATGGCATGGTAAAATCAATTATCACACAGAATCCTCACATTTAACTTCCTAATTACCACATTTTACCACATGGTAATGTACTGTAAAATCAATTACCACATGATAAGGAATGGTAAAATCAAATTACCACACTATACCATATGGTATGGCATGGTAAAATCAATTATCACACAGAACCATCACATTTAACTTCCTAATTACCACATTTTACCACATGGTAATGTACTGTAAAATCAATTACTACATGATAAGGCATGGTAAAATCAAATTACGACACTATACAAACTTCAATAAACAAACAAATTTGTATATCTTACCTCCTGATTCACCAGAGTTAGCTGAATGATCAAATCCAAGATCGATAGATGAAGAAGCAGTTCCAACAGCACTAGATGAAGAACCAGATCCTACAACGCTGGTTGAAGAACCAGATCTATCAATTGGAACAACATCGCCACAATTTACGTAACTCATCTCACCAGAATACTGCAAAAACACCAAAACACAAAGAACATAACACATGAACAAGCTCCATTAGCTAAACATAAACAAGCTCGACTAGCAGCAATGAAAAACCTCCAACGAAACTAGAGATCAACAGAAAACTCGATTAGCTAAACAGGAAGAATAAAAAAACTAATATCTAACCTCGTCGTCGATCAATTATGGAGAATCAGAAATGATTCGCCATCCCCTGTTTCGCAGCGGCTGCTCGCAGTTTCTCTCTACAAAAACCGAATCCAACTCGCGCACACGTCGATCAATTATGGAGAATCAGAAAGCTCGATTCGAAGCTGCTGCTCGCAGTTTCTATCGCCGTCGATCAACCATGTAGAATCGCCGTCCTTGTTTCTCAGCTGCTGCTCCCCCTGCTCGTAGTTTCTCTCTCCAAAATCCGAATCCAACTCACGCACAGAAAGATTCGCAACGGACAAAGAGGGAAAGTCATTTAATTCAAATATGAAATATCGGACAAAAATGCCCCTGAACATCACCGCATCAATCACAGCCACAAGATCCGTCCGCCCAAGATCGACGGTCCCTATGTGGTTACTCACGGGTGAGTAACAAAAGGTTACTCACTCTATCCTAAGCCGGGCCCTGGTCTATAATTTTGGAAATTTTATAGCCCAGCGAAAAATGCAGCAACAACTCGTTTGGAAGATACAATTGTTTTGTTGAGATTTTAGGGTAAATTAAAGATCTTTATTTTCAAAGACACCATACCTAGTTTCCTACTGTGCACACAGACTGATATTACTATTCATTTGGACCGAGATTACTATACACTCTCCCTTGATTGGTTGCTTACCTGTGCGTGGGCCCGGTGAGGTTTTTCAGTGTGTTGTGGTTGGGCCAACGATTTTTTTTCAGTATTTTTTTCTTCTCTCTCCATTATCTATCTCTCTGGTCTTTCTCTCTCTCAGGGAAATAAAGCACTTTTGGGATGCTGTTGGGATGTATCTGTCGCAGAGAGGCTTTGAGGTGAGCGGGGTGAGGCAATGAGTTGTTCATCCACACTGAGTGGAAGGAGAAGAAAGTAGTGCCCTGTTTTGTCCAATCAAGGCAGAGGAAGGAGAGATGATGGTTTGGCAGTGACCGTATGAAAAGAAGCAGAGAAAGGAAAACCATTTTTTCTGCTTTTCTCTAATTCCTGCATTTTCCCCTTCCTCCTTCGTCTCTCTATTATCCACTATCAACAAAGCAGACCTTGAGCCTCTCTCCAATTTTCTGAAATTTTTTCCCTCTCCTTCATCTCTGTCCCTGATCTATAGTCGCCATCTTCATCTCTCTCTCTCTCTCTCTCTCTGTTTCTTCGCACCGGGATTAACCAGGTGAGCAAAAAAATGGCCTCTTTCTCTCTCTTTTATGCTCCGATTTCTCGCTTTGTATTCAGCTTTCTATCTAATCTTTTCTTCTCTTTTGTGGTCATTGTTTGCATATTCTACCCTATGCAATCGATTCCTTGGAGGTGGGATTGATGGAATCGATTCATTGTTTGAATGAGCAGTTCCCCATCTTCGTCATCTCTCTCTGTTTTTGCTAACCTGTTGTTCCCTCTTTCTTCGCACTGGGATGAACCAGGTGAAAGAAAAATAGCTTCTTTCTCCCTCTTTTATGCTTTGGTTTCGATGTCTATCTGCAACTTTCCATCTAACCTTTTCTTCTATTTTTTGGTCGTTGTTTGCATGTACTCCTCTTTCCAATCGGTTCCTTGGAGGTGGGGTTGAAAGAAGGTCATCAAACTTTCGGACTACGGAGACAGAAAAAGGGAATTCCATTTTTCTCTAATGCATAGTTGCCTGTGGGACACAATGCATTGCATTCTTGCTCAATTAGCCAAGGTGGGATCGTGAATATTGTTCTCTGTTGCAGATATTAGATTGTTTGCTTTTGGTTTTCCTAGTGTCGATTTTTTCAGTCACTTGATCTCTGATTTATGTTCTTTTTCTCTCCCTTGAACTGTGGCAAGCAGGTGCAGTTTTTTTGCAGTTGGAGGGGCCAGAAGCACCACCCGGGTAGTGCAATTCCTCTGTGTGGAGTTTTTGCATTTTGCAGTTCACTATAGGGGCAAGTATCATTTTTGGTAAGGTGTTTGCATGAGTGTGAGTCTGTTGCTTTTAGATTTGTTTGGGTCATGCTATTCCTTTCTTTCCTGTATATTGAGTAAAAAATCATCCTTCTTTTGTTCGCAATCTTTTTCATTTGGTACAGGTGTTTATAAGAGTGAGGTGCTCCTATTCACCGATTTCTTCATGGATGCTTCCAGGTATTCAGAGTTTGAACCTCAATCTCCATTTAATTGTTTAGTTTCTGTATTTTTCGGTTAGTAAATTCTTTTTTATTCCTCTGTTTCAACATATTGAGTTCGTGACTCATCCTTGGAACAATGATAAGCAACAAAAGATAGGCCCTTTGTCAAATTAGAAGCTAGAACAGGATATTAAAAGCGTGATGAATGGCCTTAATGACAATTCTCATTTCTACCCCTTTCACTTATAGAATGTTATCATTTTTAAGCAGGTTCTTGAGGGAGTTGCAGCATGTCCACCACTTGATGATGAACAATGGAATTTCTTCAACATGAGGGTAGGTCTTCCTTAGTCTTAGTTGTTGTTCACTTGACATGTTACACATGAACACTTGCTTCCTTAAATGGGATTTATATTGTTTCTTGCATCGGATTCACATATCAGTATTCAATTTCCTCAAATTTTGTTTGGCCACTCTTGAGTCTGATTTGAAGTACTTATACAGATTAGAAAGCTAACCAGGAAACTTCATTCTATAGTTCCCATGATTAGCCTAATGTGTTGATGGGAAGTTCCCCAATAATATTATAGCAAATCTCAATAGTTTATTCATGAATGGTTTGGGTTTTGTTTGGCTATCCTTTCAAATCTCCGGGTACTTTTTGATGGGTTTGATCCATTTAAATGTAGTTAATATGACAGAGAGATGCATATGCAGAAACAAATAGTTTAGGCAGATCTGCAGAATAACTAAAAAGATAAAATAGTGCCCTCGAGCTTTGCTAATTGGTAGCTTCTCATGTTATTATCAGTTTTGTTGCTTTTCTTTGCCACTTAATGCATTCAAGTTATGTGTTGTATGTCATCTGGGTGTTGTTGTTTCTTATTAGTTCATCATGTAGGTAGCAAAGGAGTAAGTTAAAATTGTTGTGCTTTGACAACAGATCAAATTTATTAGGTACTTCACTGAAAAGGAGCTCCAGGGCTCACTGTTAAAGCTGGATAGTGATCTTAGTGGGGCATAGGATGACTTAGAAAGAGCCTTGCAAGAGTTGGGCTGCCTTAAACATCCACTAAAAAGGTATGTTGCTATTACAATGATTCAGTCTATTAGTTGTGCTCTTTTCTTATTTAAATGATTCCTCTGTTGATTCGGGCCTAATTGTGCATGTTTCCCCCCCGTTTTACTTAGAGGTTTGTGCCAAATTCACTCCTAAAAGGTTGGTTTTACGCTAGGTTTCCCGTGTTTTAGTGTGTTTAAGTATGTAACAGGTGAAACCAGCCTCGGAGTCGAAAGATTGGCGAAAAGGATCGAAAATCGGGAGAAGAGGTGAAAAAGGGTCAGTTCACGGCTAACCAAGGAAGTTCACGGTCTTGCATGACCGTGAAGAAGAGCCATGGATCGTGAATCGCGAGGCGTCTAGAGCAAAAGTGGAGGTTACTGACGCAAGGTGAGTTCATAGTCACTAAGACCGTGAACAGAAGTGAATGATGCGGCGCGTTTTGGTGCACGCCTGAAGTTTACGGACGTGTTTCATGGTTCACGGCCGTGAACTCAGCTCGGCTCGGGTTTAAATGATGAGCTGAAAGGAGGAGAGAGGGGGAGCCCATTGTGTGTGAGAAGCCTTTTTCAACCTTCTAAAGAGAGAAACACGAACCAAAGGGAGAAGAAGGCTAGGGTTTAGCTTCAAGGCAGATTTTGGGAAGATTTCCTCCAAGGAAACCTCAACTCAGATGTTGTGAAACCCTAACTCTACCATGTAGTTTTCTTTCATGTGTATTGGATGATTGTCATTGGGTACTATTCAATTCAATGATTGAGGCATTATTTATCATGATTGTGCATGCTTGTGCTTAGCAACTTAGGGGTTGTGCATGTTTTGTTCTTAGCACCCTTAGGTTTGTGCCTGTAGGTGCTAGCAAACTAATTAGCCACCTTAGCCTAGCTTAGAGAGGAAAATCTCCCTTCCAATGGAGACTCAGTCGAGTTGGTTTTCCTTCCGCTTTCTAAGCCACCTAAACTAGGTTAAGTTAGGACAACCCTCAATATTGAGTTAAGCAAGTCGGTTAATCGCGATTAAGCCGTCCGACCTTAGATTTGAGTGAGGGAGTAAGTCAACTACCAATTGTCTAAACCGAGAGGGTCGAGTGACACGACCTTTCATGCTTCTCTCGGTTTAGAAATTGAGATTGTGGTCTCCGACCACATATGCATCCCTCTGTGTTTCGCGATTATCGTGCCCAAAGCAATCGTTCCAATCCACATAGCATGGTAGTAGTTAGGGGGGAAGCGACACCCGAGTGATCTTTCCACCAAAGAGTTATCAAAACCATTTACCTTTGCTTTCTTTCATTTCAATTAGCAAACCTTTAAACCAAAGATTTTTTGCTAGATAATGATTTCAAAACTGAAGTAGGGGTAGACGGACCGGCCCGGGTCGATATCTAAATGCTTGCCCTATACTGCACCAGATTAGAGTTTAAAAACTTGGGCTCTAGTTGGGGTTTTATTGTGGTGTAGTTTTATGCGAGTCATCTGTATAACAAGTGATAGGCATTACTTGACTTTTAATGTTTCTCATGGAACATTGCTCATCTTAGAGAACATATGGCCTTGACTTTCTGTGCATTCCCTGTGGTTGCGTGATATCTTCTGAAGATATGCTATGTTTTTTGTTTGTTAGTTTAGAAGTCAGGGGAATGTGAGAAAATGGACACAGACTGTCCAACTGTGGAAGAGCTTTGTTAGAGAATCAGAAATCTCGAATGTCACAGCTGGTAAAACTGCCAAACAAGCTATGGGAAATTAGAATGGTGTTCTAATAGTCACTGGAAATCAAAAGAAGTCTGTGGAAAGCAACATAAATCTTTGGAAAGAATGATCCTTTTTTTATATCCTCTGTGTATGAGATTTATAAAATTGAATGTAATTGATAGTGAAACTGGAGATTAAGATAGCAATGGAGTTTTCACATATTTTATTGCTTTCGAAGGTGAGCAGGATAATATTCCTTTTAGTAGAATTGGATTTGTACAAGTCTGTCTGTTTCTACTGCTTTGTTGCATTATGCAAACACTGTTTTTGTACCATGTATCTTATAGATTTTTATACATTATTTTCTATATATTAGAAATGCATCTTACCTTATTAATACTTACATTATGTACTTACACTCTTATTACATATATATTAAGCATACAAAGTTTAGAAAAGAAGGTTCCAAACAAAGCCTTAAATTTTACACCTCCCAGCACGAAGTGCGGGTTGATAACTAGTACAATTTAATATCAAACCTTTTTGTTTTAAACTAGATTTGGGTGCGGCTCGTTGGTCGAATGAAATTTGATAAAACAAAATTACTAAAGTTACATGTTTGTGTTGTTCTATTTTACAGTTATATACGAATTTTTTCGAAGTTCACACTCTCAATGTTTATGTTAATATTAGTATCAAACCGATACTTTAAACAGAGAAAGCGACTAATATCACTCACTCTACCATTTTAATATTTTCTTAACATCTAAATACATACATTATCATTTCATATAGCATAATAGGGGAAGTTACTCCCTCCTTATCTGCACTTACTCTGCTACGTAACAGTATCATTGTCATCATCATCGACTCCGCTATGTTCGTCATCAGCAACCCTCTTTATTTTTCCCTTATTTAATAATGAAATTCGGTTTTCTAAATCAAGGTTGTCAAACCGGTTTATACCATCACGTTGGTTTAGCAAGTGGAATGGTTCGATCGGTGGTACAATCAATGCAGTCAAAAGAGCGATTCTACCTAGCGGCAAAAGGGTAAAATCGTAAAACGCAGAATCAAAGCGTAAAAGCGTAAGTTTTTTACGCATACTGTAAAATAACTAAAAATCTGTTGAGTACGATATATACTATGTAAAATATGAGTGCACAGAATTTGGACAAGTTAATAAATACTTGTAAATCACGTCTAAAGTAGAGCAACTCATAGTATCTTTTAACAATAAGTTCATAAACATAGATCTTAACAATAAGCCACCTTCCTGCCTATGTTAATAAATTTGGGAAAGGCCTAACTGGTGAATTAGATTACTCTATTGAAGTTGAGAATGCATCCAAGTAACTGATATGTATCTTTTAATCTAAAATCTATCATATGGTTGGCGTTTTACCTTTAAAATATACCTTTTATAATAAATTTCATGAAAAAAATATCCATTTAGTGAACTAAAAACGTAAAAGCGTAAAGCGTTTTGGTGAACTAGAAGCGTAAAAGCGTAAGCTTTTAAGCTTTAAAACGCAATTTAGTCCGATTTTATGCACTTAAGATTTTACATGGAAACAAAAGCGTTTTAGTGACCTAGATGCGTAAAACCGTAAGATTTTAAGTTTTAAAACGCGATTTTGACTGCATTGGGTACAATCAGTGTTTGTCGGTGTATGCCAGTTTAACAAAATATATAGACATTGGAAAACTGATTAACAATAAATGAATTTAATCATATATAAAGCATATTTGAACACAATTAAGATCAATTCATATTAATATTTAAATAAAATGCGACATTCATAATAAAATTACAAATACTCATATTTAAATGCAACATTCAACGTCAATACCTAGATATTTATACTTAAATTTAACAATTAACATCAACATTGAACTTTTAAACTCATAAAACAAATTATGAATTAATTTTTTGTTAATTAAATTCAATAAAACGATATCACAAGTTTAGACATTGTTAATCGATCATGCCGGTCATACCAATGATGTTCACATTGATTTCATGACTGGTACAAGTTGAAGCATGTCGTGCGGCTCAACAACCATGTTGTAAACCAAATGAGGTTTACCATGAGATTTTTTGTTTTAAGCCTTAGCTTGAGGCGGCATGTTTAGAAGTTTTTCCATTTCATTTTTTTTTACGTGGAGATCAACGGACAAATGAAGCCAATCTAAAAACAGAATCTCAAGTTAAGGCAATGACCATATGTAGTTATAATCTCCCGGAAAAAATAAATGTGAAGTAAAATGACAAATGCAACCTTTCTTGAAGTGCGCAGAGGGCTCTATTTTTCCATCTAACTCCCTCCTCCCCTAGAACGTCTTTATATTAGTGTGTAGACAATATAATAGCCAAAACTTTTCAAAAACAAAATAATAGTCAAACCGTTAACTTTCCTTCCGGTCAATGGTTAGTTGACTCTGACGTGACAAAATCATTGCTTAGTTGGCACCAATTTTTTTTTCCTAAGTGAGCTGGCAACAAATTAATCACTTTATTTTTTATATGTCTCCTTTTAATTATTAATGTTTATTTTTATAAAAAAATTGAAATAAAAAAATAGAAAACCCACAGCCACACATCTCCTTGTCGCTTCCCTCCCTCTACATGGAAAAAAAGTAAAAAACAATCCTCTGCCGAAACCAAACACTCCTCAATGCGGGTTCTAGCCGAGACGATTTAGATATGTCGAGTGAAACTTGAAGGGATTCTGAATTTGGGCAGATTCAAGCGTCTTCTTCCCTTTCCCTTTCGTGGTCGTCGAGTTTAAGTGTTCAGCAACAGGCTTCTTCACCGATGATAACTTGTTGTCGCCTAGGCCTCAAATGGGTTTCTTTGTTGTATATTCGACTCTGTTTTAGATGGAGAGTGAAATTGACGAAAAGGGATTGAACAAGGGATTGTGAATGGGAAGCCGGAACGACAAAGAACTAATGGGTTTCTTATATGAAAAAATGAGTAAGATGACGATGATTTTCAGCGAAATGATTTGGTATGAGATTTTAATGGACTTTCATGGTGGTAAAAAGGAGTGGAACGAGAACTAGAATTGGAGAGTTGGGAATATGGGTACGTGGGGTTTGGATGGCGATTTAGCGTAGGTGAAGCGATTTGATGAGTTTGAGTTTTTTTCGGTAGGCGAACAGGAAAGAGATGAACTAGAAGTGGAACTGGTCGGCTTGGATTGTTAGAGGTAAGGTAGGTTGAATTTGCTAGCCCTAGGTCGATGGGGATTGAGGGGAAGAAGATACTATTTTAATATTAATTTTTCATAAGAATATAAAATTAGTGAAAATTTACAATTATCAATGTGGAAAGTCAAATGTTTGATTTTGTGCCACGTCATCAAATTCATTCCACCTCAGCAATGATTTTGCCACGTCAGAGTCAATTAACTATTGAGTGGACCGAAAGTTAAGGGCTTGACTATTGTTTTGTTTTTGAAAAGGTTTGGTTATTATTTAATTTACAATGAAAGGTTTGGCTATTAAATTGTATTTACGTTTTTGTAAATTCCGAGTGATATTAAGAGAGGACAAGAGTTATACAAATAAAACTACCAAGGAACCCCCTACAAGCGACATTCTAGTGAAGCCACACAATAAAGTAGGAAGACTCGAACTCTAAGAGATACAATAACAGTGCTTTACACGCCACTCTATGGAAAGCACTGTTGGTGGCTCTAGGAACCACCCTAAACTCTAAACAAACCGACAAAAAGTCTAGGATCTGACGACACTCCCGGATCATCGAACCTCTAAAGGAATCTTCCAGGACACCTTGTCGAATCTGATTGACGACCACCTCAGAATCACCTTCCACTATCACGTGAGCAAAGGAACTTGAGGCGACGATGGTGATAGCATCTCTTACTACGAGGAACTCTGTTAGGTAAGGGTTGACTACTTCATGGTTACGCATACTAGGCTGCTGACTCGTCCCGAATATCACAATTAGTTCCCGCCTAAGGTCCAAGTATAAAACTTAGTCGGGTGCAATACATGGTAAGTATGTTTAAATATCGACTCGGGCCGGTCCGTGTAGCCCTACTGTCGCAAACGGTTCGTCCGCGACTCGGCGCGGAAAAGAGGAGTCACCACCAATCTCTCAAAGTGGATTGGACACTTGGGAAGTCAATCATAAAATCAGTTACGATTTAGGCTCGGCTTGCTCTGCGAAATAGATTTATGGGTTCGGGGGCCGATTACGAGTAAGGAAGGTATTAGCACCCTTACATCGCCCTAAATCGATACTATAATTTTGATTTGTCTTCTTAATTGATATTTGCTTGTTTGAAATTATTAGGATTTACATCGAATATGTGATGTCATTTTTGACATATATTACATGTTCATCAACATGTAATTACGTTGGAAGAATTAATATACGTTTTTTTGGTTAATTTTAAGGGGAAAAGGGTTTTATTTATTAGTGGACTTGGACCAGTAGGCCGCCTACGTACCCGACATCTCGGGATCAAAGCCCTCGTAGTTCGGCGGACATTTAGTTATTTTAAAATGTTTGCTTACGACCCATCGGTACATAATGGTTTCTTAATTTGATGGCGATCCATCGATCGTAATATGTTTGAGATGGATTAGAAAAGTATTGATCACGTACCCATCGGTACGTAATAGTTGTTTAATTTGAATACGATCCATCGATCGTGATTTGTTTAAATAGGTTAGGCAATTAATTGATCATGTACCCATCGGTAATGATTTCTGTAATTTGATAAAATAATATTTTAGGAGTTGTATGGACTTGAATCTTTCGATCGCCTACGTACCCGACATCTCGGGATCAAAGTCCGCGTAGTTCGATTGGGTAATTTAATTTTGATTGGTTTAAAAATGAAACATCAATGGAGAAACAAGGTTGATAATTATCATCTTCTAAACTAATGAAAATTATGGAACACATCTGTTCCTAGCTTCAGCTTTTACCCCTTTTTTAACGGTAAGAAAGTACTACTACAGAATTCAAATCACAAAATTTATCAATTAATGAATCAAGATAATGAATGTGGTGTAACTCGCATGATGCATATGGAGTGGTTTTCAACTAATTAGTGGTGTTTACATCAAGCCAAATTGACAGGCTAAATGGTCAGTGGCATGTAATTTTCCTACGGTTTTTATGCAAATCTTCTTGGGATACAGGGTATTTACATCATGGTGGGAATTAAAAGATTAAAAGAAAACCTACCTCGTGCTATCCGACGCAAAGATATCCCATTCCTCTTCTTTTCCTCTATCTCGACGCGGCTACACCTCTTTCTTCTCCTTATTTTCCGACGAAACGAGCAGACAGCAGCGGTGGGATTTGAACGGCGCGAGGAGCCCACAGCGACAGGCGGTGGCTGATGGCACGGAGGTTACCTGGCGATGACGATGGTGACGATGGTGAGCTGGCGGCGCGAGAAATACGACGACGGCGAGCGTACAGCGGCGGTTACGCTGGTACATCTTTTTTCTAATCGCCGAACGAAACGGTCTAGATTTCACGAATGATTTTGTGGAAAGAGGCTTGGATTTTCTTTAGTTTTTTTTTGGGAGTTGTAGAACGAAACTAGCTATGGCTGAGGGGAAAGAATAAAATTCTGGATTTTGTTGTTTTTCTTTTGTGTATGGAATCTGAAAAGGAAAGGAATGATCAAGGTTGTTTTCTGGAAACGGAATTGCATCAAAAGCTTCTCCCAAAAAAAAAAAAAAGCCCCCCTCTGTATCTTGCGGCCTCTTCTCCTTTTATAGAACGTACGCTTCAACCACTTAGGCCTTAGCTTACCCCCCCATTCCTTCAATCAATTTCTCAGATCACTTTTCTCTTCCTTCGTTAATTTCCTGCCTTTCACAGCTCAATCAAACATGGAGCTGATTCATTTTCTGTCTTGCACAGCAGCACAGGAAATGGGTGCTAATTTCTTTTGTATTTTGCAGGTGACAGAGGTGAATGATGGAGGAATGGGGGAGAAACAGACTGGTTGGTTGAATCAAAATGGTCTAACCGACCGGGTGGGGGTTTGGATAATTGGCCTGCTGCTAGGCTTAAAAGATGGGTTCTGTTTCTCTTTTTTTAGCTAGAATTTTTTGTGGCAGATTGGCTGGAAGCCCGAAGTTGTAATAGAAATGGATTGTAACGGGATGATGAATTTCAAGTGTTTAAACCAGGTTCGAATAAAATTATTTACTTTGGGAAAATCCGGACAAAAATGGGTGCCAACACCTACTTCAGTCATTTGAATCATTATCTAGAGAATTGATTTTGGTTGAAAAGTTTGCTAATTAAAGTAAAGCAAGGCAGAAGTAAATGATTTTGAAAGCTCTTCGTGAGAAGGATCACTCGGTGTCGCTTCCCCCTAACTACTACCATGGTATGTGAATCGAAGTGATTGCTATGGTCAAGGTGATCGCGAACCGCTAGGGGACACAAATATGGTCGTAGACCATACTCTTGATTGCCAAACCGAGAGATACATTATAGGCTCTTCAAGTGGCCCTCTCGGTTAAGGCAATCGATGGTTGTCTTACTCTCTCACTCAACCCAATGGTTAGGTGGCTTAATCGCGCTTAACTAAATTGCTTAATCCAACATCAAGGTTTGTCCTAAATTAACCTAGATAGGTGACTTAAAAGCCCAAGGAATCCCAACTCAGTTGAGCCTCCCTTGAAAGGGGGTTTTCCCTCTCTAATCTAGGTTAAATTGGCCAATTAGATTGCTAAGCACAAACATGCACAATCAACATGAAAAATACCTCAATCATGGAATTAACAACACCCATAAACAATCATCATTCAATTCACATAACAAAAACTACATGGTAAATACTAAATAGTTAGGGTTTCACAACACCCAAGTGAAAAAGGAAACTACTCCATGCTAGAAAGGGGAGAAACACAAGAGGAAGAGGTAGAAACCATCATGGAGATGCTTCCAATCTTCTTTGCACTTGTGCTGAACTTCTCTTGAGGAGAATCTTCCCAATTCACCACTTGGTGCAAACCCTAGCCTTCCTTCTCCTTTTGTTCGTTCTTTCTCTCTCTAAAAGCTTAAGAAGAAGACACTTTCTCATTCTTGGGTTCTCCCTCTCTCTTCCTTTCAGCTCTCTTTTTAAACAGAGATCGGGCTCAGTTCACGGTCGTGAACTCTTGAACGCGTCTGTGAACTCAAGGTTGGCGTCGAAACGCACCGCTTCGCTTGCTCAAGATCACGGGCAACAGCTCCAGTTCACGGTCTTAGTGACCGTGAACTCACCTAGCGTCAGTAACTTAGAATTTGGCCCTAGACACCTTGATGTTCACGGGCAAAAGCTCCTCTTCACGGTCTAAGCAGACCGTGAACTTCCAAGAGAAATCGTGAACTGCCGGTTTTTTTACCTCTTCTCCCGGTTTTCGCTCATTTTCGTCCAACTTTCGACTCCTGTGCTGGTTTCCCTGTTAAATCCTGAAAACATGCTAAAACACACGAAACCTCGCGTAAAACCACCCTGTTAGGAGCACAATTGCCACAAACGCTTAAGGAAAACGGGGGTAAAATATGTACAATTAGGCCTAAATCACTCCCCCACACTTAGACGTTTGCTTGTCCCCAAGCAAACCATTTCACACAAGGTAATATAACAGCCTACAAAAATACTTTGGGGACAACTCAAAGGGCACAAAGTGGGAATTCTCAATGGCTATTGCCAATTAATACATGGATCGTTGCAAGCAAAACCGACATCCACCACAAACGACATTCGAGGCCACCTGTCACACCCCGACATTTGGGTCTAGGTTCGACCGAACAGTTAGATCGACGATTACGTACAAAGCATGAAAATTGTAAATTAGAAATAATAATAATAACATTAATAAGTAATGTTACTATTATTATCATCATTCTATTAATGACCACCACCATCAGCTGCCGTTTTCCCTAGCAGAAGGAGAAAAGAAAAAAAAGAAAAAAAAATTATTAAATTAAGACCCTGAAACCGTTACACGCCATCACTCTCTCTCTCTGACTCTTCCTCTCTCTATCTCCCTAACGTGCCCAGCAACAAAACCCATCAATTCCCACTTCCCCTTCTCTCATACGCAGCGGCAGCGGAAGTCAAGAAAGAAGGAAAGAAGCGTAAAACTAAACCCAGCACCCACCCGACCTCTCTTACTCTCGGCGCCAGTTCTCTCCGTCGACAGCAACAGCGCACGCCACCGCTCCCTATCTCGTCGCACCATAGCTTCCCGACGGCGATCGATCCTCCGTTCCTGGGTCGACGAAATCATAATCCTCAAGGTAAGGACTTCGAGCTCAGCCAATCATAGGTCAAATCAGACGTTAAGCTAACCCTCGAATCGTGGCCCATGATCGACGACAAGGTACAGTGAGCTAGCCGGAAAGTACGTCGACGACCCGGCGTAATCGAATTCAACCAAGCTTCGAAACCTTGGTACCATCGCGTAGAGGACAATCCCAGGAGCATCGCGGTCTTGACGGAATTGAGTTTCGACGTCGGACGAGGGAGATACGAGCCTCGAAAGTTTGGGACGCAAATCGGACAGTTCAGGTATCAGTCTTGGCAATTCGAGAAGTTAGAGGATTAAATGTGTGATTTTTTCCACAGAGGTCGTGGTCAACTGTGTTGACTTGAAAATTACAGTTTTGGTACCTAGTACTTTTAAACTGACTCAATGTTTAATTTGGTCATAACTCGATCAATTGACGTCCGAACGAGAAATCGTCAGCGCCTGTGGAATCGTGAGAACGAGGAGAATTTAATTGGAGCAAGTTTGGAAATTTTAGAGCAGATTCAGAGTTGGTTTCGACGGATATAAGGTGAGTGTAAAGGGGGTAAATTCTACGCCTTGTTTGATTTACGTGAAGTGTGTGTGCATTGTTTGATTTATGATTGTGTTGATTATGCATGCTTCAATTTGAGTTATTGTTTGGAGCATTTCAATATCTACGTTTAAGAATTTAAGTTTATGTTTTTCGACGGTTAAGAACGAATATTTTTAATGCTTCATCGTTTACTAAGTTATGGCGTTAAGAGTAAGAGAAAGTCACGAGTAAGAATAAGTTAACCTCTCTTAGCTAGCCACTAGCTAGATGGATCCCTACCGGACGGTGATAAGTTCCGCGGTAGTTGATCACTACCGGATGGTGATAAGTTCCGCGGTAGTTGGTCAGGCGTGGAGCCGGACGGTGATAAGTTCCGCGGTCTCCATTGCCCAGGTTTAGGTGTGCTACCGGATGGTGATACGTTCCGCGGTAGTCACACCGTAGTTTGACACCGGATGGTGATTCGTTCCGCGGTGATCAAACTCATTTGAAGGGCACCCCATTGTGAGGGTAGTCATGTTTAAGAAAGTAAGTAAGGCTAGTAGTGGCGCCAGCTAAGACGAGGTAGGGGCCCCAAAGTAAGCTAAATGATGAAATAATACATTTTTTTTCAAGAGTTAAAGTTTGAAAGACGAGAGTAGAAATCACTTTCTCGAGTTTGTTGTGAGCTTCCGGGGAATAACCATAGGCGTTTCAAGTTTAAGTAAGGCGTACACTGACCCCAATTCACTCACCAGATTGTAGAGGAGGTAAACCTAACCAGCCAGTCCTTGATCAGCAAGCTAGAGGAGTTCAACACTATCGTTGTTGAGAGATGTCGAGCCAGGGATCAGAGTAAGCTTCGAAGAACTTTTCAAGTTATTAAGACGTTATGGTTAAGAGTTAAAGACGGGAGATTCATTTCCTTTGGACAATTTGAGTTTTGCCCACATGTTTAGGGCTACGGTTTGAGATATTGAGATATTTGAGTTTGGTATTTAACTTGTGCTATTTGAGATTTTTAACTATACCCCGGGGTAGAAATGTCTTTTTCCAAATTCAAAGAGGAGGGATGTTTCACCACCAAAAGTGGGCAAACAAAAATTTCTCACCTTGTTCATGGATCAATGCAAGTCTCAACAAGACCACCTATCAACCACAGCTACCCATGCATAGAATTCAAGTCCGATGAACAAATGGAAAGGCAACAAAGGTCCTCACCGGGGTAGGATAAGGCATCCAAAACAAAAATGAATCGCTCACTCTCAAGACCAGTGGGTCGGGACCTTTTTCGTGGCACTGTCTACTTTATTTATCCCGTTTATTACCTCTTTCTCGTTTCTCTTTTCTTTCTTTTTCTTTTCTTTTTGAGGGGGGGGGGTACTAGACAGTAAAACCTTTGTCACCTATACATTTAACGACCAATGCTCTCTTTTCAAGAACTCACTCCAACACTACACTTCATTTTTCATTCCTAGCAAGAACTGCACACAAACCTCCTATGTAGAACCTCTATGGAAACTTAAAAGTGAGAGCTCCGGGACACAAGGATGACTCATGTTTAGACACGAAGAAAGGAATGGGGGTCGTTCTATCAACACCATTAAGCTCACAAGCATGAAGCTCCTACTTTAAGAACGACCCTCGAACTCACAAGGCTCAAAGGGGTTGACTAGTGGATAACACATTTCGGGACAATCAACATTTAGGCGTGGACTAATCCTATGCCTCCATCATACTCACTAGTGACAACTGTGATGTTACATACCATGGTAAGAGGGATCTAAGCACACAAGAAGAAAACAATCGGCTCAAAGCTCACATGGCTACCTAGCACTACAATAAAATGCACCTTTTGCGACGAAAGAATTCGTCGCAGAAAGCCTAAAATTCAGCCGCCAAAGGTTTCTGTGATGAATTTAAGCGTCACTAAAAAGAAATAGCGTTCGTTGCCTATACAACGTCGCAGAAAGTTCTACGACGAAAAAACACGGGTCGTTGCAAAAAGATCGAATACAAAACCTTGTCAAGGGTTAATCAATTTATTTTCTGGTCGATCAAATCATAACCTTGTCAAACCCAAAACCCAGATTCCCCCAAGATCTCTACACAACCAATTGCTAGTTTCCTCCTCATGCCCATAACCATCGCCGTCGCTAGAGCTTCGTCTCTGTTAGATTTAGTTCAGCGAATCCAAACCCAAAAACACAGTAAGAAAAGTCAAAATCCATTTCTAAACAAAAATTAAAAGAAAGGAAAATGCAAATGTCAAACTTACCTAAATAGACAATTTTGTGCTCGATTTGGGTAAGCCCTGATCGATTTCTCGTCTACGATGCGAGACAGAGAAGGGAACGGATCGAGAGAAGAGGC